CATTTTACACCAAAACGGAACACAAAAGCAGGACCAACCATCATACATTGAATTCCTTGACTAACAAGAGAAAGATTCATCATTTAAATACATATTTAACAACAAATGGGCCGGTTCTAAAGGTTCTAAAGGTTCTAAAGGTTATTCAGTTAAGCCCGATGAGAGGGGATACAGCTGTGCACATGTCATCATTAACAGACGTCGTTTAAGAGTGACGTTTGAGTGAACAAGGACATCCCAATTAATACCTGAGGACTCCTCTGTCCTCGCGTCACCTCCTCGTGTCTCTCGCTCGCATCTTACGGAGGCGGAGCTAAGACGCAAGGAAGGGACGCGAGTGAGGGGAAGGAGGAGTCGAGGAGGGGTATTGAGACGAGGCTAGTGTCTCTGAAGAGTTTCCTCCACAGAGACGTCACATGACAATTAACCAAAACTCAAAGTGATAAACTGGAGGCTGATGATTGATGATTGATGATTGATGATTGACTGTGTTGGACAGGTGAGGTGGTGGAGCTGTACGGATCAGAGGGGACAGGTGAGGTCACATGTGATCATACTCTAACAGGCTCACACGCATTGAAACACTCTGACTTATTGAGAGAGAGAGATAGAAACCTTTGACTCTAAAGGCGCTTTTCCCCTGCAGGACCTCGCACGGCTTAGCACGGTATGGTTAGGCCTTGGTAGGCCAGGCTCACTTTATGCTGCGTCTCCATTACAGTTTAGTAGCTGGGGCGGTAACTATGGTAACGCAGTGTAGGCGGAGCGATCGGCTGTTCGGCGGGCGGAGCGACGCTGCATAAAACTGCCGTGACGTCATCTTCAATGCGAAACACACAAAACCAACACAGCCGTTAGCTGTTAGCACTCAGAGCTCACAGCTCCTCATATCTGTTCAGAGACTAGACCAAAGTTAAACAAGTACAAACCACAGACTGCCTGTGTCATGGTGAATACAGTCGCTGCTTTATTTATGTCTGTAGGCCGTTGTTGTGAGTGTGGACGGTCGGAGCATATATTGCGTTAGCTTAGCCAATCTCCATTTAGAAAACAAGCATATTAAAAGGTGTTTCCCCTGCCGTCTGTCTGCAGACTTGACAAAGCATTAATTCATGGTTTTTACTGAAACATGTATTACAATTAAATCACGGTCAAATATGTTCATGTTGTTGTAGTTGTTGCCCCCCCTTGCCAGCGATTCTCTCTGACCAATCAGCAGTCGAGAGTGTTTACGTCACTAGTTTAGCATACTCGGCCCGGTTGTTGTTAGAACCTGGATTTTGGAGGGCCAGAAAAAAGGTGAAGAAGTCGCCCTGAGCCGGAACTAGCCCTAGTGGAAAAGCAACAAGAAGCGGTGCTGCAGTGGAAAAGCGCCATTATACATCCACACAAATAAACAAGAAGTGTGAGCCTGGCCAGGGTTCACGGAAATGAAAAAGTGAACAATCTAATAGAATATATATATAGAGTATAAACACGAGGGTTCTGTTGGGAAACACTGAATGTCCTCTTCCAATATCAGAGTAACATGATCACAAAGGCCCAACTGTAGCTGTGTTCATGACAATAAGTCTCAATTTTGAGATTTTCAGAAAAAGTAAACATGAGATTTTCAAAAAAATATATGGAGAAAAAGTAATAAAAATAAAAAAAGTCAACATTTTGAGAACGTCAGAATGAGTGACGAGTGAGATTTTTCTAACATAAATGAATGCCCATGATTTAATGAGAGTTTCCTCCCCAGGTAAGACGGAGCTCCTGTACCACCTGCTGAGTCGCTGTCTGCTGCCTCTGAGCGCCGGAGGGCTGGAGGTGGACGTTGTGTTCATGGACACCGATTATAGTCTGGACATGTTAAGACTAGTCAGCATCCTGGACAGCAGGCTGAACGCAGGTACGCACCAACGAAGAAGAAGCATTCAAGTGTCAGGTAGTCACAGGTGTGCTTTTAATAAAAAAACAATGGTAGAATCCTTCTACTTCAGTTGGGGGTTTACCACATTTTCTTGGAACTTTTTGGGACGTTTGTTGACATTTTGACGCAGGATTTGAGCCTTTGCAGACCATTCACATGCACTGAACCGCTCTCCTCTCTGCAGCTCGCTCCTCCTCTTCCTCCTCTGGTTCTGATGAAGAGCTGTTGGGTTCCTGTCTCTCTCGCCTCCTCGTCGTCCATTGCTCCTCTTCCTCCCAGCTGCTCCTCACCCTCCACTTCCTGGAGACGACCTTGACCTCTCGACCCCGCGTCGCCCTGCTGCTCATCGACAGCATCTCCGCTTTCTATTGGCCGGACCGCTGCGAGGGCGGGACCAGCGTCACCAAGCAGGAAGAGAAACTCAGCAAGTGTGCCGAGCTGCTGGGACGACTGCTCAGGTTCTTCTTTTAGGGGTTCTAGAGGGGTTTTAGGGGGTTCTAGAGGTCATTTTGGCAGTTCTAAAGGACTTTTAGGGGGTTCTAAAGGGGTTTTAGGAGGTTCTAGAGGTCATTTTGGCAGTTCTAAAGGACTTTTAGGGGGTTCTAAAGGGGCTTTAGGGGGTTCTAGAGGTCATTTAGGAGGTTCTAAAGGGCTTTGAGGAGGTTCTAGAGGTCATTTTGGCAGTTCTAAAGGGCTTTTATGAGGTTCTAGGGGTCTTTATAGCAGGACTATAGGGCTTTTAGGAGGTTCTAGAGGTCATTTTGGCAGTTCTAAAGGGGTTTTAGGAGGTTCTAGAGGTCATTTTGGCAGTTCTAGAGGGGTTTTAGGAGGTTCTAGAGGTCATTTTGGCAGTTCGAAAGGGGTTTTAGGGGGTTCTAGAGGTCATTTTGGCAGTTCTAAAGGACTTTTAGGGGGTTCTAAAGGGGTTTTAGGAGGTTCTAGAGGTCATTTTGGCAGTTCCAAAGGACTTTTAGGGGGACTATAGGGGTCTTTATAGCAGGACTATAGGGCTTTTAGGAGGTTCTAGTGCTTATTTAGAAGGTTCTAGATGTCTTTTTGGCAGGACTATAGGGGTAATAGTGGTGCTCTGTGTGGTTCTGTAGGTCCCTTATGTCGTTGTATTGGTCAATAAAGAGATTCCTTGCGATACCTGTAGGTGGTTAAAGGGTCCTTTAGGTGCTACCAGAGGTTCCAGAGGTTCCAGAGGAGTTTTAGGTGGTTCTATTGGCCTACTATTCTCTAACACTGTGTTGGGTTCACTGTAAAATGTCGTCTGTGGTTCTTCCTCTCAGGGATTTCCGGATCACCGTCTTCGCCACCTGCCACGCCATCAGGAGGAACTACAGTGGACCCTCCTCTTTTTCCTCCTCCTCTTCCTCTTCCTCCTCGGACATCGACAGGCCGTTCCTCTGCCGCCCCTGGCAGCGTCTCGTCGCCCACCGGCTGCTCTGCTCCAAGGAAACTACAAACATGGCCGCCAACAACAGGGAACCAAAAAGACGTCAGATGTTCACGGTTCACTGCACCTCCTCTTCCTCCTCTTCCTCTTCCTCTTCTTCTAAAACCAAGTCGTACAGGAGCAGCTCCTTCTGCATAACAGACGCTGGGGTGGAGTTTATCTGAGCGGTTTGGGATCTGCAGGAGAACCCGTTTTTTTTTTTTTGTATATTTGAGTTATTGTTTACATGCATTTGTCAATAAAGCTGTAATACAGCTGTGATCCAGCAGGTGTTTCTATTTGTATCAGGTTTCCGCTGCACAGCAGGGAGTCCCAGATACATCGGCAGCAAAGAATACATTTATTAAAATATGTATTATATATTTGAAATGGTTATTAATGTCTATTATTATAATTATTACATTTTTTTTAATATATTTTACTCGTTTTATAATGACTATTGTTAATTATTAATGCTATTGTGAGCTTTATTTAACTGTTATAATTAAATAATTATATATTATATCTAGAATTGATCTTATTATTGTTTATATAATGAATTAATTAATAAAGGCTGTATGTTTGGGGCACGTGCAGCGTGAGTCCGGCTCCTCGCGCTCCACTCCGGGACTTCCGGTCTGATGACAGAAACCGCATCACCAGAGCAGCCCTCCTGCAGATCCCTCCGCGGGGTCAGACACACTTTTTACCTCACGAACAGAAAACCCAGCTAGCTGCACCTTTAATGATCAATCATTATAAAACATATTTATATATTATTCTGAAACGGACCAATCTGCACAACGAGTACTTTTACTGTAACAGAGTATTCATACACTCTGGTACTTCTACTTTTACTGAAGTACAAGATCTGAGTACTTCTATTTTTACTCAAGTACACGATCTGAGTACTTCTACTTTTACTCAAGATCGGAGTACTTCTACTTTTACTGAAGTACACGATCTGAGTACTTCTACTTTTACTCAAGTACAAGATCTGAGTACTTCTACTTTTACTCAAGTACAAGATCCGAGTACTTCTACTTTTACTCAAGTAAATATCTGAGTACTTTTACTCAAGTACGAGATCTGAGTACTTTTACTCAAGTATGAGATCTGAGTACTTCTACTTTTACTCAAGATCTGAGTACTTCTACTTTTACTCAAGTACGAGATCTGAATACTTCTACTTTTACTCAAGTACAAGATCCGAGTACTTCTACTTTTACTCAAGTAAATATCTGAGTACTTTTACTCAAGTACGAGATCTGAGTACTTTTACTCAAGTATGAGATCTGAGTACTTCTACTTTTACTCAAGATCTGAGTACTTCTACTTTTACTCAAGTATGAGATCTGAGTACTTCTACTTTACCAGTGTGTAGGAATACTCTGTTAAATATAATAAAATAGTGGAAATATATATTTTTATGGCAGTTTCTTTACATAAAACAACTGTGAGACACAAGGATAAAATATCTAAAGATGGATTTAACTTCGCATTTCTTTATTTCTTACAGTTTTATAGTTATATTTACAGTTACACAGTTAGATGTACTCCCCACAGTGAGTAGTATTCGGGTTTCTTCGGCCCTACTTCTTCTCCTGCTGCTTGCTGACAGGAGGCGGTGCTTCGGTCGCTCCCAAACATGGCCTCCATGACGGAGCGACCGCTTCAACTTTAATTTTTTTCGCCAGTTTTTCAGCTCTAAAACCTGCTTTTTCGCCTCCACTTCTTCCCGGGAAATGTTTGTTGTGATCGTGTCGATATGGCAAACTCGTGACCCGAGGTTTTCTCCCGGGAAGAGAGTTTAAACTGATCGGTTTTAAGTTGAAGCTGCAAAGCTGGAGAGGAAAAAGAGAATTGCATCAAATCAGTAAGAAGGCTTTTCCTCCCTCTATCTCCACTCGTGTCCAGCTTTTAATCCCCGCTTGTGTTTCTGTATCAATTTATACTTGCAATGTTTACATAAAGCGACGAATAAAGGCGCGTTGGAGCTGCTTTCTGATAGCATTTAGCATGCTAGCTGATGCTACAAGCTAACAGAGAAGTGATCAGCAAACTGGACGGTGCGAAGGTAGCTTACATGCTAGCTAATGCTAATGCTAAGATAGATAGAGGAAGCTAACGGCTAACTGCTAACTGCTCGGTTTCTACTATACAGATAAGACAGTATTTACTTTATTGATCCGTATTGGGACATGTTTTGCAGGTAAACTAAGCATTGCACATGACGTGAACATGTACACAAATAGACGTGAACATAAAACACAAACATCTGAAATAGGGTCAATAAACATAAACACAGTTAGGGAAGAGACGTTGAGAGATAAGTACAAAACAATTACAAAACTATATGTTAAGAAAGATGTTATAACATTTAAGATATAGTTAATTAATTACATAAAATATAGATGTAGCTAATAAACACGTACAGTATACTATATTTGTATTTTCGTCACAGCAGCATGTAAACAAAGCATTACATATGATGTGAACATGGAAATACATGGATTTAAACATTAAATATATCTCAAAATAGGAAATAAAAAAGGACTTTAAAGTTAAATATATACATACTGACAGTGGAAGATGTATATCTGTGAAATAAACCCTATGAAGGGCCAAATACAGCTACTACTATATAGAAGTAGGATATTATTAACATGGACGATGCATTAAATACATTAAATATCAATAATGCAATATATACAGATGGAGTCATTGTGATTTTTGTCCAGTTAGCACTTTCATATTGATCCAAATTGTTCCTACTTCATGTCATTTCAAACTTTATTGGTTAGTTTACACAGACAGGGAATCAGCTTGGTGTATTTGATCAAAACGTGTGATACAATACTGCAAAATACTCTGTTAGTATAAAGTATTCATTCAGTAGTAGTAGCAGGAATAGCTCTAATAGTACTTGTAATAGCTCTAGTAGTAGTAGTGATATTAGTGATAGTAGTAATATTAGTGATAGTAGTATTATTATTGATAGTAGTATTATTATTATTATTATTAGTAGTAGTAGTAGTAGTAGTAATATTAGTGATAGTAGTAGTAGTAGTAGTAGTAGTATTATTAGTAGTAGTATTAGTAGTAGTAATATTAGTGATAGTATTAGCTCTAGTAGTAGTAATATTATTGATAGTAGTAGTAGTAGTAGTAGAAGTAAAACCACTCTGTATAAATACTGCTCCAAGTACAATACTACTTGTGTGAAACTACTAATACATGACACAACAGTTTGAAAATACTCATGTTTCTTCATTAAAAATGTGTATAATTGACTAGATCTATGTTATATGTTGGTTCCTGTAAATATCATATAGTGAACATTACACAGACACAGACATATATGTATATATATATATATATATATGAAATATCAAATAACAGGAATATTTATGTCCTTTTTTGTAAATATCATATAATGTGAAGTATATAATAATATTTTTAATTAAAGTGGTCTGCAGATATTCAGAGAGGTAGCTTGTGTACAAATGTGCAAAATATTCGGAGGGTCGTGCAGGACTGTCTTATTTAGTAGTAGTAGTAATGCTATTAGTAGTAGTAGTAGTAGAAGCTCTTATAGTACTTGTAATATCCTACACAGATATATATATATATATATATATATACACATGTACACAAGATATATACAAATATCATATGTATGTGTAGTACTATAATATTTTTAATTAAAGTGATCTGCAGATATTAAGAGAGGTAACTTGTCTACAAATTATTTAGAGGGTCGTGCAGGACCGGCTTACTCACTACTTAAATGAAACAAATTACAGATATGTCTCTTCCCCTGAATCACACCTGACCCCTGACCTCTCTGTCTTGTGTTTATTACCCAGAATGCCGTCTGAGGCTCCTCCCCAGGAGCCTCGGGACCGCGGCCCGTTGCCCCCCGTCACGCGGGCCGGACGCAGCGCTCAGCTGGCCAAAGAAGCCGCCACAAGCCCCGCCTTCGAGAGGCGCTCCAGGGGCCGACCTCGCAAAGATGGCCCCCCGACGCCCCCACCTCCAACACCTACACCTCCCAAAGCCAGGAAGTAAGTCTGCTCCTATTGGCTAGCGCTCCAACATATTGTACATGATAGGATAAAGTGGGCGGGACATTTCTAAGCTGGTTGACCTGGTAGTGATGCTTGTGGTACTAGTTGTTGAGACACTACATACTGATATACACCTGAACATCAGCAGGAGAGGACTCTTTAAAGCAGAGACACTACATACTGATATACACCTGAACATCAGCAGGAGAGGACTCTTTAAAGTAGAGACACTACATACTGATATACACCTGAACATCAGCAGGAGAGGACTCTTTAAAGTAGAGACACTACATGCTGATATACACCTGAACATCAGCAGGAGAGGACTCTTTAAAGTAGAGACACTACATACTGATATACACCTGAACATCAGCAGGAGAGGACTATTTAAAGCAGAGACACTACATACTGATATACACCTGAACATCAGCAGGAGAGGACTCTTTAAAGTAGAGACGCTACATACTGATATACACCTGAACATCAGCAGGAGAGGACTCTTTAAAGTAGAGACACTACATACTGATATACACCTGAACATCAGCAGGAGAGGACTCTTTAAAGTAGAGACACTACATACTGATATACACCTGAACATCAGCAGGAGAGGACTCTTTAAAGTAGAGACACTACATACTGATATACACCTGAACATCAGCAGGAGAGGACTCTTTAAAGTAGAGACACTACATACTGATATACACCTGAACATCAGCAGGAGAGGACTCTTTAAAGTAGAGACACTACATACTGATATACACCTGCACATCAGCGGGAGAGGACTCTTTAAAGTAGAGACACTACATACTGATATACACCTGAACATCAGCAGGAGAGGACTCTTTAAAGTAGAGACACTACATACTGATATACACCTGAACATCAGCAGGAGAGGACTCTTTAAAGTAGAGACACTACATACTGATATACACCTGAACATCAGCAGGAGAGGACTCTTTAAAGTAGAGACACTACATACTGATATACACCTGAACATCAGCAGGAGAGGACTCTTTAAAGTAGAGACACTACATACTGATATACACCTGAACATCAGCAGGAGAGGACTCTTTAAAGTAGAGACACTACATACTGATATACACCTGAACATCAGCAGGAGAGGACTCTTTAAAGCAGAGACGCTACATACTGATATACACCTGAACATCAGCAGGAGAGGACTCTTTAAAGTAGAGACGCTACATACTGATATACACCTGAACATCAGCAGGAGAGGACTCTTTAAAGTAGAGACACTACATACTGATATACACCTGAACATCAGCAGGAGAGGACTCTTTAAAGTAGAGACACTACATACTGATATACACCTGAACATCATCAGGAGAGGACTCTTTAAAGTAGAGACACTACATACTGATATACACCTGAACATCAGCAGGAGAGGACTCTTTAAAGTAGAGACACTACATACTGATATACACCTGAACATCAGCAGGAGAGGACTCTTTAAAGTAGAGACACTACATACTGATATACACCTGAACATCAGCAGGAGAGGACTCTTTAAAGTAGAGACACTACATACTGATATACACCTGAACATCAGCAGGAGAGGACTCTTTAAAGTAGAGACACTACATACTGATATACACCTGAACATCAGCAGGAGAGGACTCTTTAAAGTAGAGACACTACATACTGATATACACCTGAACATCAGCAGGAGAGGACTCTTTAAAGTAGAGATACTACATACTGATATACACCTGATCATCAGCAGGAGAGGACTCTTTAAAGTGGAGACACTACATACTGATATACACCTGAACATCAGCAGGAGAGGACTCTTTAAAGTAGAGACACTACATACCGATATACACCTGAACATCAGCAGGAGAGGACTCTTTAAAGTAGAGACACTACATACTGATACACACCTGAACATCAGCAGGAGAGGACTCTTTAAAGTAGAGACACTACATACCGTTACCTGCTTAGTCATTGAATCCACTGAAGATCATTTCTGTGTAAATACTTTAAGAAAGCATCAAAAGTTAACCTGTTTAATTTGGACATAATATCAATATCAAGGTGTTACATTTCTCAGTGAGATTTGTAGACGGTGCACAGGTGTTTTAGTGGGCGGGGCCTCAGGTGAACTTCCTGTCTGACCCTTTAACCTACATACGTGTGTGTGTGTTTACGTGTGTTTACCAGCGTCAGAGTGCAATATTCCAACTTTCTGGTGTGTCTGAAACACATCACGGCTGCCTTTCTAATTCATTAGGCTTTATTAATAACTAACACTGAGGGAAACACACACACACACACACACACCGGTCTGCAAGAGTGGGTGTGTGTGTGTGTTGGAGAGGAAGTGGTTAAATTGCATGCTGGGTAATCAGCAGAGAGGAGGAGGAGGGGGATGTGTGTGTTTGTGTGTTATGGAATGGAGTCAGCTCCGGGTTTTACTTTCTGCCACACACACACACACACACACACACACACACACACACACACACACACACACACACACACACACACACACTCTGCTGTGCTATTGATATGATGATGATATCTGATGTAACATGAATAAAGTGATGTGATTGTTTTTTTATTGAGTTTCTAATGTGTGTGTGTGTGTGTGTGTGTGTGTGTGTGTGTGTGTGTGTGCAGGGGGCGGAGTCGAGGTCGAGCCCAGGTAGATGATGAAGAGAGTATGGACGCCACGGAGAAAACCCCCCCCCAGAAGACAGGTGAGTTTACCTGAGCTTCTCTGATGATTAGTCTCATCTTCACTGTGTTCACGTTGATTGATTAAATGTGTGTGTGTGTGTGTGTGTGTGTGTGTGTGTGTGCACAGAGGTGAAGGAGAAGACAACAGGACGTCGTCGCTCCACCTCCAGGAGGAAGTCCAACACAAACCCAGAACCTGATCCAGAACCAGAGCCAGAGCCGGACCCTGAACTCGGTCAGTGCAGTTTAGTTAATTTAATTTAACTTATTGATTATATCTGCTATTCTTTTAACCAGTATATCATTTTAAAGTAGCTCCTTCCTTTCATCAGACACATTTGTATTCCTTATTATTTATTATAGGAATAAAACTAAATAAAGGATATTGTTTTAATTCAGTTGTATTTCCCATTCATAGAGACCCTTCCCCTGACCCCTCTCCCAGCGCCGGCTGCCCCCAGTCCTGCTCCAGCTTCCAGTCCAGAGAAGGAGCCTCCCGTCAGACCCTCTTCCCCAGACCTGATCCCAGTCCAGAGCCCTGGTCCTGGTCCTGGGGAGGAAGAGGAGGAGGAGGAGGAGGTCCAGCCAATCCTTAGCCCCGCCCCCATGGATCAGAGCCCCGCCCCCTCCAGTCCTCCAGCCTCCCCCTGCCCCCCCCTGGAGGACGAGGACTCTCTCTCTCCCCTCTTCCAGCTGTCGGACGAAGGGGGATCGCCCACCCCCAGTTTGGGACACACCAAAAAACGGTGAGACTGTGTGTGCTGAACGTGTGTGTGTGTGTGTGTGTGCTGAACGTGTGTGTGCTGAACGTGTGTGTGTACGTGTGTGTGTGCTGAACATGTGTGTGTACGTGTGTGTGTGTTGAACGTGTTTGTGCTGAACGTGTAACCTAATATGACGCATGTACACGTGTTGTACGTGTGCTTTACGTGTGTGTGTACGTGTGTGTGTTGAACGTGTGTGTGTTGAACGTGTTTGTGTTGAACGTGTAACCTAATATGACGCCGTTATATGTGTTGTACGTGTGCTTTACGTGTGTGTACGTGTGTGTGTGTGTGTTGAACGTGTGTGTGTGTGTGTGTGTGTGAACGTGTGTGTGTTGAACGTGTGTGTGTGTGTGTGTGTGTTGAACGTGTGTGTGTTGAACGTGTGTGTGTTGAACGTGTGTGTGTTGAACGTGTGTGTGTGTGTGTGTGTGTTGAACGTGTGTGTGTTGAACGTGTGTGTGTTGAACGTGTGTGTGTTGAACGTGTGCTTTACGTGTGTGTACGTGTGTGTGTGTGTGTGTGTGTTGAACGTGTGTGTGTTGAACGTGTAACCTAATATGACGCATGTACACGTGTTGTACGTGTGCTTTACGTGTGTGTGTACGTGTGTGTGTGTTGAACGTGTGTTGAACGTGTGTGTGTTGAACGTGTGTGTGTTGAACGTGTGTGTGTTGAACGTGTGTGTGTTGAACGTGTAACCTAATATGACGCCGTTATATGTGTTGTACGTGTGCTTTACGTGTGTGTGTACGTGTGTGTGTGTGTTGAACGTGTGTGTGTTGAACGTGTTTGTGTTGAACGTGTGTGTGTTGAACGTGTGTGTGTGTTGAACGTGTGTGTGTGTTGAACGTGTGTGTGTGTTGAACGTGTGTGTGTGTTGAACGTGTGTGTGTTGAACGTGTGTGTGTTGAACGTGTGTGTGTGTACGTGTGTGTTGAACGTGTAACCTAATATAACGCCGTTATGTGTTGTACGCAGTGTTTGAATTACCCATTTGCTTTCGGGGGAGCCCTATTTTCCAGTGCACATCCTGCTACTAAATATGTCACACGCACGCTCTGTTGACTGGCGCAGCAGCGCGGATTCGATCAATTGCTATAAAATCACTCTGCTACTACAGACGGTGTCACTACAGACGGTGTCACTACAGACGGTGTCACTACAGACGGTGTCACTATGTCACTACAGACGGTGTCACTATGTCACTACAGACGGTGTCACTACAGACGGTGTCACTACAGACGGTGTCACTACAGACGGTGTCACTACAGACTGTGTCACTATGTCACTACAGACGGTGTCACTACAGACGGTGTCACTACAGACGGTGTCACTATGTCACTACAGACGGTGTCACTACAGACGGTGTCACTACAGACTGTGTCACTATGTCACTACAGACGGTGTCACTACAGACGGTGTCACTACAGACGGTGTCACTACAGACGGTGTCACTACAGACGGTGTCACTATGTCACTACAGACGGTGTCACTACAGACGGTGTCACTACAGACTGTGTCACTACAGACTGTGTCACTATGGTCCTACAGACGGTGTCACTACAGACGGTGTCACTACAGACGGTGTCACTACAGACGGTGTCACTACAGACGGTGTCACTATGTCACTACAGACGGTGTCACTACAGACGGTGTCACTACAGACGGTGTCACTACAAACGGTGTCACTATGTCACTACAGACGGTGTCACTACAGACGGTGTCACTACAGACGGTGTCACTACAGACGGTGTCACTACAGACGGTGTCACTACAGACGGTGTCACTACAGACGGTGTCACTACAGACGGTGTCACTACAGACAGACGGTGTCACTACAGACTGTGTCACTACAGACTGTCACTATGTCACTACAGACGGTGTCACTACAGACGGTGTCACTACAGACAGTGTCACTACAGACGGTGTCACTACAGACAGACGGTGTCACTACAGACTGTGTCACTACAGACAGACGGTGTCACTACAGACTGTGTCACTACAGACGGTGTCACTACAGACAGACGGTGTCACTACAGACTGTGTCACTACAGACTGTCACTATGTCACTACAGACGGTGTCACTACAGACGGTGTCACTACAGACGGTGTCACTACAGACGGTGTCACTACAGACAGACGGTGTCCACTACAGGACGGTGTCACTACAGACGGTGTCACTACAGACGGTGTACACTTACAGACAGACTGTGTCACTACAGACTGTGTCACTACAGACTGTCACTATGTCACTACAGACGGTGTCACTACAGACGGTGTCACTACAGACGGTGTCACTACAGACAGACGGTGTCACTACAGACTGTGTCACTACAGACAGACGGTGTCACTACAGACGGTGTCACTACAGACGGTGTCACTACAGACAGACGGTGTCACTACAGACTGTGTCACTACAGACTGTCACTATGTCACTACAGACGGTGTCACTACAGACGGTGTCACTACAGACGGTGTCACTACAGACAGACGGTGTCACTACAGACTGTGTCACTACAGACTGTGTCACTATGTCACTACAGACGGTGTCACTACAGACGGTGTCACTACAGACGGTGTCACTACAGACGGTGTCACTATGTCACTACAGACGGTGTCACTACAGACGGTGTCACTACAGACGGTGTCACTACAAACGGTGTCACTATGTCACTATGTCACTACAGACGGTGTCACTACAGACGGTGTCACTACTAAGACGGTGTCACTACAGACGGTGTCACCTACAGACGGTGTCACTAACAGACGGTGTCACTACAGACAGACGGTGTACACTACAGACTGTGTCACTACAGACTGTCACTATGTCACTACAGACGGTGTCACTACAGACGGTGTCACTACAGACGGTGTCACTACAGACGGTGTCACTACAGACAGGCGGTGTCACTACAGACTGTGTCACTACAGACAGACGGTGTCACTACAGACTGTGTCACTACAGACGGTGTCACTACAGACAGACGGTGTCACTACAGACTGTGTCACTACAGACTGTCACTATGTCACTACAGACGGTGTCACTACAGACGGTGTCACTACAGACGGTGTCACTACAGACGGTGTCACTACAGACAGACGGTGTCACTACAGACGGTGTCACTACAGACGGTGTCACTACAGACGGTGTCACTACAGACAGACTGTGTCACTACAGACTGTGTCACTACAGACTGTCACTATGTCACTACAGACGGTGTCACTACAGACGGTGTCACTACAGAAGGTGTCACTACAGACAGACGGTGTCCTACAGACTGTGTCACTACAGACAGACGGGTGTCACTACAAGACGGTGTCACTACAGACGGTGTCACTACAGACGACGGTGTCACTACTACAGACTGTGTCACTACAGACTGTCACTATGTCACTACAGACGGTGTCACTACAGACGGTGTCACTACAGACGGTGTCACTACAGACGGTGTCACTACAGACAGACGGTGTCACTACAGACTGTGTCACTACAGACAGACGGTGTCACTACAGACGGTGTCACTACAGACAGACGGTGTCACTACAGACTGTGTCACTACAGACTGTCACTATGTCACTACAGACGGTGTCACTACAGACGGTGTCACTACAGACGGTGTCACTACAGACGGTGTCACTACAGACAGACGGTGTCACTACAGACGGTGTCACTACAGACGGTGTCACTACAGACGGTGTCACTACGCCGGCGGCTGTGGCCGTTGTTGAAGCCTCTTCAGGCTCTGCATCGGCAGGCCTCTCCCTCGGTGTGGAGCTGCCAAACTCGACCCGCTTACAGCCGGCCAACTAACTAAAAGTTGGTCCATTCACGTTGTCATTTTTAGACTCCTTCGCTTCTTTGCATGTGAATCCAAAAGCTGCGACGCTTGGCTGTTTTCGTTTTGCCATATTTTTTATTACAAAGCCAGAGTTAAAAAAATATCAATATGAACATTTCAAATACCGTGCCGGCTTCGCCACCGTAACCATAGCAACGTAAGTAACGTAAAGAATGCAGCGCCGCCACGTACAGATGCCAACACCCAGAAATATTCACAAATATAAAACAAATATTCAGAAACTGTAATGAACAATAACTATTATTTATTTACAGAAACTCAACATTTCTAATCTGTGTGACACAAATATGCACGATTGTTTTGGGCTCCCCCTATTTATCTCAAAGTCGGCCTTCAGGGGAGCTCCCCCCCTCTTCGGGGGAGCCAAGCTCCCCCTGGCTCCCCCCCATTTCGAACAGTGGTTGTACGTGTGCTTTACGTGTGTGTACGTGTGTGTGTGTGTGTGTGTGTGTTGAACGTGTGTGTGTGTTGAACGTGTAACCTAATATGACGCCTGTATACGTGTTGTGTGTGTGTACGTGTGTGTGTGTGTTGAGTGTGTGTGTGTTGAACGTGTGTGTGTGTTGAACGTGTGTGTGTGTTGAACGTGTGTGTGTGTTGAACGTGTGTGTGTGTTGAACGTGTATCCTAATATGACGCCTGTACACGTGTTGTACGTGTGCTTTACGTGTGTGTGTGTGTTGAACGTGTGTGTGTGTTGAACGTGTGTGTGTTGTACGTGTGTGTGTGTTGAACGTGTATCCTAATATGACGCCTGTATACGTGTTGTACGTGTGCTTTACGTGTGTGTTGAACGTGTGTGTGTGTTGAACGTGTGTGTGTGTGTGTGTTGAACGTGTGTGTGTGTGTGTGTTGAACGTGACCCAATTGCCTGTCTTGTTTATTCAATTTTTCCAACTATCTGTACTTTCCTCTATAAACAATGTGATGAGGTCTCAACACATCTCCCCCCCCTCCCCCACACATATCTCCCCCCCCCTCCCCCACACATCTCTCCCCCCCCTCCCCCACACATATCTCTCCCCCCCCCCATCTCCAGGTTGAAGCAGTGTGCCTTCTGTTCCCTGGGCTCCGCCCCCCCCCTGGGCCTCGGCCCCCTGGTGGTGTTCGGCCCCACGCCGGGTTACATCCCGCTGCACATCCTCAACAGCCGCTCGCCCCCCCGATCGAGACAACGACTGCCACGACCACTGTTACCACGGAGACCAGGCCCCGCCCCCGTGAGTCCAAATAAGAGCATACCATCATCAAACCATTAAACCCCCTCGTTCTTTACCATTTGTAAATCCACCTTTTACACTTCCTTTGCCTCCTGACATGTGAACCCTAATGTCTCTGTTACACACGAGACTAACAACACACTCTAACAGAGCACAAGACTAACAACACACTCTAACAGAGCACAAGACTAACAACACACTCTAACAGAGCACAAGACTATCAGAGTATAAGACTATGTGTTTGAAACGATTATATGATCATTTGACACGCCACTAATGAGGTTTGACATTAATTGCGTGTGTGTGTGTGTGTGTGTGTGTGTGTGTGTGTGTAGGTGCAGCAGTCCAGAACAGTGTGGTGAGTACAAGCTTTTTCTCTCCGTCTGATATAAATATACATTTATTTTATGTAGAAATTTAAGATGTTGTTGTTGTGATGTTTTCTAATGTTTTTCCGGGTGTTTCAGAGTCTTCCTCAGAGTTCCTGGATCAGTTAGGACCCGTCGGCCTTCCTCACGACATCAACGTCCAATCACTGTTCGACCCCACAGGTACAGGAAGTCCCCTTTAAACCCCCTTTATTTCTACTTTGAGTTGTTCACGTCTCACACTGCACTGTCACTTTGATTTCTTAATGCTCTTAATGTCTTTCATTTTTGTAAAGCACTTTGAATTGCCTTGTGTTGAAAGGGGCTGTCTATAAATAAACTTGCCTTGCCTTAACTCCTGTCGTCAGTCCTTCCTCAGATAAATCTGACTGTGTGTGTGTGTGTGTGTGTGTGTGTGCAGGTCAGTGCTGTGCTCACCTGCAGTGTGCAGCCTGGTCAGAGGGGGTGTGTCGAGGCGAGGGCCAATCACTGCTCTACGTTGACAAAGCCATCGACTCAGGAAGCACACAGGTACCATATTATTATGTATTTTGTAAGTCACAGTCACAGACATGCCTGTGACCTAAGTTGTTCATTGCCATATCTACACTGTAGCTACAATAAAGCCTTGAAACTTGATATATGTAAACATGAACTAAGCCCCGCCCCCTTCTACCTGTCCTCAGGTGTGTGCGTTCTGCTGTCGGCTCGGAGCGTCGCTGCGTTGCCGGGAAACAAGCTGTGGGCGGAGCTTCCACTTCCCGTGTGCTGCAGCCGCCGGAGCTCTGCAGAACTGGAGCCAGAGACACACACTGTGCAGCAGACACACACACTCAGGTACACACACACACACACACACACACACACACACACACACACACTCACACACACACACACACACACTCACGTACACACACACACATTATGTTAGAAAAAATCTCACTGCTCACCGGCTTGAGCTTCAATCTCAGGATCCATGTATTTCTGATCCTCTCCAGAATGGAAGTAGTCATCACATACAGAGCATTTGTTGGCTTTTTTCTGAAAATCTAAAAATTCAGATTTCTTTTCAAAAACTTACAATTCTGACTTTTTCTCACAATTCTGACTTTTTCTCACAATTCTGACTTTTTCTCAAAATCAAAACATTCTGACATTTTTCTCAAAATATTGACATTTTTCACAAAATGTTGACATTTTTCTCAAAATCTAAAAATCCTGACTTTTCAAAAAATTCTCAAAATTCTGACTTTCTCAAAATTCTGACATTTTTCTCAAAATGTTGACTTTTTTCTAAAAATTCTAAAAATTCTGACTTTTTCACAAAATTCTGACTTTTTCTCAAAATTCTGACTTTTCTGAATACTACGTTAATAATCCCTGGTCCCCGGCTTGATCTTCAACCTCAGGATCCATGTATGTGTGATCCTCTCCAGAATGGAAGTAGTCATCACATACAGAGCATCAACTAGTTCCTGAACAGTGTCCTTCACATGCTGATATCCAAGAGAGGGAGTTACACAGTCACAAGATGGAGGAATAGAAAGCAGTATTCAATGTTTACTTCAGATTAGCTCCACGTCAGAAATGAGCATGCTTGTCATATGTCTATCTCCATAGAGGCTGAATCATCATGTTCATCACATAGCTATCATATGCCTCAAACAGTCCTGATGCTCTTCTAGGTAATCAGACATCCTGTCATGTTCACAGCTACAGTTGGGATACCTTTGTAAGCATGTTGCTCCGCATGTGAAGGACACTGTTCAGGAACTACTTGATGCTCTGTATGTGATGACTCCTTCCATTCTGGAGAGGATAATAGATTCATGGATCCTGAGATTGAAGCTCAAGCTGGTGACGAGTGAGATCACTAACACTAACCCTCACACATATATATGAATATTTGTATGTATTCTCTCTCTCTCTGCAGCGTCCTCCTCGCCGTGTGTGTTGTGTTCGAGTGACGGAGACACCGGCGGGGTGTTGACATGTTGTTGCTGCGGGAACTGTTACCATGGCAGCTGCCTGGACCCCCCCCCTCGACCCCTCTCCCCTGCACCGGGCAGGGTGGCAGTGTCCTCAGTGCAGAGTGTGTCAGAGCTGCAGGTAACACACACACACACACACACAACACACACACACACACACAGACACACACACACACACACACACACACACACACACACACACACACACACACACACACACACACACACACACACACCACACACACATTCCACAGGCCATAAGACTGTTAAACACCTGAACTTTTGAAAGGACATCCATAACATTCATCTGTCTGCAACTTACAAATCATGTATCTAATATATCATATTCCAATTGCTTGTATATAGACTCTCCTTGCACTATTTCTGTTCTATTTTATTCGTATTTACTTGCACTATTTTAACAATTGTATCTGTGTTATTGTGTTGCTCTGTTGGAGGAGCATGTGACCTCAGATTTCCATTGACGCTGTAGCTACGTACAAATGACAATAAAAGTCTTGAATCTTGAATTAGGGTTATATATTGTGTGTTTTTTGCACATGATAGAAAGCAGAGCGTTTTGTAATGATGATAATGTATATAGTGGTGGTGTGGCAGTTCTCATATCGTCATTTAAATGAAATTCAGATGAATTGTTAAGCAATATTTTCGAAACGAGGCTCCACACACACTTCTACCGTCTATGAAAAGTGTTTAAGTTGACGTGCATGAGTCATAACTCCCATGTGTGTGTGTTAGGTTGCGAGGGGATGATGATGTGATGCTGGTGTGTCAGCGCTGTGATAAATCCTACCACACACTCTGTCTCAAACCTCCTCTGGATCACACACCGAGCACCGGTTGGAGCTGCAAGGTGAGATACACACACACACACACACACACACACACACACACACACACACACACACACACACACACACACACACACACACACACACACACACACACACACACACACACACACACACACACACACACCTGATCTAAATTCTGCTAATATCCGGCAAGAAAGCGATCACTAGGAATTGGGGTGAGGAAGCACCACCAACGAAAAACTAATGGGTAACAATTGTGGAAGAAATCTTTTTGATGGAAAAACTGACTCATAAATTGAGATTAGAAGAAACACAACTCAACAGAAAGTGGGAAAATGGACTCTCTACAAAGACATTTGACTGGAACAATAGCTAATAGTTACGTGTATCACCAAGAATATAATAACATGAAGACATATCCCTAGCCTTTTATTTTGTATTGCCTTGCTGGCCTTTTGTCACATGATTGTTACGTTGCTGTAACCCCATTTTTGTATTATATATAACTATGAGTGTTCTTATTTTATTTTTTAAACTCTCTCCTCCAGAACTGCAGAATCTGCCGCCGCTGTGGTGTGAGGTCATCAGGCCAGTGGGCCAATCACCCGTTTCTGTGCGAGTCATGTGACCCGGCCCTGCCCTGCCCTCTCTGTGACCTCAACACACCACAGGACTATTGGACCTGTATCTGCTGCTATAGGTACACTACGTTTATGGAGTGTTTTCTTATACATTACAGAAGCACAGATAAGGGGAATAGAAAAGGTCCAAGTACAGAACCTTGCGGGACTCCATGGCGCTTTTATCGTTAAATTGGAATCAAACTAGCTTATAGCTGTTCCTTTATTGCTAATTCAATGCCCCAGTCTATGTAATATTGTGCAATGGTCAATTGTGATAAATGGAGCACTGATTCCTTTGTTTGATGCAATTAAAAGGTAACTTGAAACTTTTACCAGAGCTAGGATGAACTCTAAATTCTGACTAAATATCTTCAAATAAACAATTGTTACGTGTAAAGACGCGCAACTGATTAGCAAATGCTTTCTCGAGGATGTGTGGTCCTGCAAATAAGACTTGCTTTCTGTTGTTTGGAGATGAATTATCTAACAGACAAGCTGACATGTTTGTGTGTTTTGTTTACAGGTGTGTCCATACAGAGTGTATCGTCCAGGCTGGGGAGGGCAGGGCGGGGTCTGAAGATTACGTCTGCTCCACCTGCAGGCCTCAGGAAGAGGAGCCACTCAGTCCTACCCCGGCCCCCCCCTCTCAGTCCCACACAGGCACCTTCCAACAGCATTTCAGAGCCACCACCACTTCCAAGTCACACAGAGGCTCCACCCATCAGTCCCACCGCTCATAGTCAAGTCCAGCTTACATGCTCGGAGTCACCACAGAGTCCTGACGAGACCCTGTGCACACAACAAGGTCTGACACCACCTCATCCTGAACACACAGAGATACATAGTCCTGCACCATCCTTACCTGAGCAACAAGAGCTCCAACAAAGTCCAGCAGCATCACACCCTGAAACCACAGAACTCAAACAAAGTCCCTCACCTTTGCACCATGAGCAGACGGAGCTCCAAAATAGTCCTGCATCATCCCTCCCTGAGCAAAAAGAGCTCCAAAAAAGTCCTGCTTCCTCCCACCCTGATCCTACAGAACTCCAACAAATTCCTTCGCCATTGCACCCCGATCCAACAGAGCTGCAAAATAGTCCTGTTCCATCACACCCTGATCCTACAGAACAACCACATAGTCCTGTTCCATCACACCCTGATCCTACAGAACAACCACATAGTCCTGTTCCATCACACCCTGATCCTACAGAACAACCACATAGTCCTGTTCCATCACACCCTGATCCTACAGAACAACCACATAGTCCTGTTCCATCACACCCTGATCCTACAGAACAACCACATAGTCCTGTTCCATCACCCCCTGATCCTACAGAACAACCACATAGTCCTGTTCCATCACCCCCTGATCCTACAGAACAACCACATAGTCCTGTTCCATCGCACCCTGATCCTACAGAACAACCACATAGTCCTGTTCCATCACACCCTGATCCCACAGAACAACCACATAGTCCTGTTCCATCACACCCTGATCCTACAGAACAACCACATAGTCCTGTTCCATCGCACCCTGATCCTACAGAACAACCACATAGTCCTGTTCCATCGCACCCTGATCCTACAGAACAACCACATAGTCCTGTTCCATCGCACCCTGATCCTACAGAACAACCACATAGTCCTGTTCCATCGCACCCTGATCCCACAGAACAACCACATAGTCCTGTTCCATCACACCCTGATCCTACAGAACAACCACATAGTCCTGTTCCATCGCACCCTGATCCTACAGAACAACCACATAGTCCTGTATCATCTCACCTTGAAACGTCAGAGTGCGAACCAATCCCTGAGCAATCCCACTGCAATCCAACAGAGCTCCAAAGCAGTCCTTTGCAATCCCAGACAGATCCCACAGAACTCCCACAAGGTCCTGCACCATCCCTCCCTGATCCTACAGAACTCCAACAAATGCCCTCGCCATCGCACCCGGATCAAACGGAGCTCCAGAATAGTCCTGCACCATCGCTCCCTGAGCAAAAAGAGCTCCAACGAAGCCCTGTACCATCGCACCCTGATCCCACAGAACAACAAAACAGTCCTGTACCATCACACCCTGATCCCACAGAACAACAAAACAGTCCTGTACCATCGCACCCTGATCCCACAGAACAACTTAATATTCCTCCACAATCCCTCCCCGATCCAACAGAGCTCCAAAACAGTCCTTCACCATTCCAACTTGTACCCACAGAACTCCCACAAAGTCCTGCACCATCGCACCCTGATTCGATAGAACTCGAAAAGAGTCCTGCACCATCCGGCACTGAACCCACAGAGCTCCAACACATTTCCGAGCAAACACACCCGGATCCAACAGAGCTCCAAAACAATCCTTCCCCATCACAGACAGATTCCACAGAACTCCCACAGAGTCCTACACCATCCCACCCTGAACTCACAGAGCTCCAAGAAATTCCTGCGCCATCTCACCCTGAGCCCGGAGAAACACATCAAATTCCTGTCCCGTCGCAGCTCGGTCCCACAGAACTCCAAAATAGTCCTGCACCATCGCAGCCTGATTCGATAGAACTCGAAAAGAGTCCTGAACCATCCAACCCCGATCCCACAGAACTCCAAAAGAGTGCATCCTCTGGCAATGAACCTGGGGAGCTCCCACAAATTAATTCGCCATCTCACCCTGAACCCAGAGAGCTTCAAGAAGTACCTGCGGCATGCCCACCTGATTCAACAAAGTTCCAAAAGAGTCCTGTAGCATCGCAACATGAACCCCTAGAACTCCAACGAATAACTGAAACATCCCAATCTGAACCCACAGAGCTTCAGCCATGCCCACCTGACTCAACAGAACTCCAAAACAGTCCTGCACCATCCCATGTCGAACCCACAGAACTCGATAACAGTCCTGCACCATCTCATCCGGATCCCACAGAACTCCAAGATAGTCCTGAACCATCTCATCCTGATCATGCAGAACTCCAAGATAGTCCTGAACCATCTCATCCTGATCATGCAGAACTCCAAGACAGTCCTGAACCATCTCATCCTGATCATGCAGAACTCCTAGAAACTCCAGTTTCACCACATCCTGATTCCACAGAACTCCAAACAAGTCCTGAACCATCGCATCTTTCTTCCACTGAGCTTCAGCAAAGTCCTTCACCAGCCCACTCTGACCCAACAGAACTCCAAAGCGGTTCTGTACCATCTCATCCTGATCATGAAGAACTACAAGAAACTCCTGTTCCATCTCATCAAGATTTCACGGAGCAAAGTCCACCAACATCTCACAGTGGCCCAACAAATGTACTGGAAACACCAGCTTCATTGAATCCTTTAGAGTACCAGGAGAGCCCCACCTCACCTCAAGTTAGTCTGACAGAGGATCAACGAAGCCCGACACATGTGACCTTCTTTCAGGCTCAGCAGAGTCCTTGTCAGGTCAGGAACACCTCTTCCAGCCCAACTCAGGACTCCACAGAGGATCAGGTTTTGGCCACAGACTTTCTGCACAGTCCAATGCAGGGTAGTCCTTTGGCTTGTAGCCTTGTACGTTCTCCAGTAGGGTTTAGTCCTACCTGGTTTCTGTCTGGACCTGAGCAGATCCCTTCACCACACACTTCACAGTCACCGCTCGACACACCATGTAGTCCTGCTCACAACATCACACAGCTTCAGAACAGAACCCCACAAAGACAGCATAGTCCTACGCCACATAGTCCTTCACAGGTCAGCTCACAGAGTCCCCCACAGGAGGCCGAACGTACACTGGATCATGAGAGCCCTGGATCGAGCAGCCCTGCTGGAGCGCGATGTGGGCCAGCACAGGGCCTTTCTACACTGAACCTCTCACCACAAAGACCCGCCTCACTTCGGTCCATCTCAGCGCCATGTAGCCCCTCACCGGCCCCCCTCAGAGCCACAAAGTGTAGTCTGTCCCAGCCTGCCAGCCCAGTACAGGGCCAGTCTACAAAGCCTTTGCAGGTTCCTACTCAGTCAAGACTGACAAAGGAACTAACAGGTACCACAGAGCCTAAAATTGGTGCCCAAACACTGGAAAGTAGCCCCTCCTCTAACCACGGCACAGATGAAGAACTTCCAGACGAGCCTGGACTCAGCCCCCATCGCGGTCCTTCCACGCCAACACCAGAAAGCCTTGTTCACATTAGCCTAACTAGCTCACCTTGTGAAACGGAGGAAGTTCCTCCCCCAACTAGCTTCACTCAGGGGGTTCCTTCTTGTGCAAGCTGCACAGAAGCTACTGAAGGGAGCCCCACAAATATCCAAAACAGCATACCAGTGGAGAC